ACAACACGTAGTCCACAAGTTTAGCAAGCATAGAGTTGACTGACTATAAGATGGATACAAGGAACACAAAATTGCTTATCATGTGCTCAGGCACGAATCAGTCATAGGTTTTCTGCATGGATTTCATTTCTTGTTCTTGGTCCTTCAAATTCGTGCCTCAAGTTTTTTTTTAGAGTGGCGAACCTGATGAATAATGACCCGATTTTTAAATGGCTGGTCTTCGAGTACAACAGTAGCACACACCTGACCTGTCTTACTGTCACATCCTAGTATCAAATCTCATTTGCACCAAAACCTTGTGTTTCGGCTGATTTACACATAGTAAAGTTGAAGTTCGGAATGATCAGTCATTTAGATGCTTTCAGTAGACGCGTTCAAGTGATGTTTACGCACCCCTTGTTCACACCACTATCTAGTCCATAATGAGAGATTTGCATTGCAACAAGTTTAACGATGTGATTGATCACGTGTTACTGTGACTTATTAATTACACGGATGGATAACCAAGTTCCTACAACAAAAAGCCACACAGTATCAGACATCTGAAGCTGTGTATAAATATGGACGCACACTGGGATGGGATTAAGCTCATAGGACTGTGGATTATCCGGCTTGTGATGAAGTGGCAAACCCATAATCTTGTCGAGCCCGAACTAACTGAATATGTACAAATGTGAACACAGATTTTCAGTTTTCCAGTCATAACAGTTTTGTTATCATATGAGTTAATAACTGGGAAGCAAGTCAAATGCAGACAGACTGTCCAGAGAAAAATTGGAGAATTCAAGGTATACGGGGTTTTGCAACCTAGCACCCATAATGTTAAAAGGCCAATCAACAATGAGATTCGAAGTGGTAAATAATTACTTTTGCGATTCTGTGTTGGGTCTAATGTGTGATGTGTACAATCGGGATGTTGAAAACAGATGATATGTCAACCCATCGTAAACTATATTTTCCTTCTGTTCTGACAAAGTAATTAATTAGAATTAAATGCTTAAAATTATGTAACAATTTAGATTACATCTTTTAATAAGCTAACAGAATCAAAAGGCAAGTCGGTACCTAGTTGTATAGAAGATTGTTATATGGAAAAGTGAGTAGGTCATCATGTTTTTGCAATGACAAAGTCGGTTACATATTTCAGTTGCACAAATTTGAGTTGTTGTTGTTTGCCGGGATGGACTCATTGTGGAACATTTCATTTGTGTTATTTTTATTCATGAATCACTAATTCGATGAGCATCTTGTCTCTGTAGTTTAGCCTCGTCTGAACCACCTCCTTCTTCTTTCGTACAAATGGGAAACATTTAGAAAGCGAAAATAACATTATACTTAAGAAGAAGCAAAACGGTTTGCAAAAGTACAACCTCTACTAACATCATATATCTCGGATTATCGAATATTTATACGGTAATAATAGAGACCCCTTTGACTATGCTGTAAGTAGCATGATGCCAAGTAATCAGAACGAGTTTACGGTCTGTCTCATCATTCTCTGAACTAGTCAAATTATGTATGGTTGAAACAAGTCACAGACCGCAACTTACTGAATGAAGTTATTAATTACATTAGTTTCAATTACAGGCTCATTCCAAAGAAGGGTCACTTCGTTACGGAGGCCAATTTTGTTTGGTACCGCGGGACATTTGTAGAAAGTTGGGCCCATGGAGAGACTAACTCCAACATGCCTACGGATCACAATTCTGCCCATAAGTCGGTTTGATACCCAAATCAAACAGGCCATGACATCTGTGCCATAACTTTATTCCTTAACATCTTTGCCTCAATATGTGCAACAGAGCAGTCGTTTCGCTGTTCGTTGGTTTTATTAGGATATCAGTTTTATAAATACAGGCATTACTTCCGTCCCTGTATCATAGCTCAACTCACAATTTGGTGGTGGACTACGGAAAACATAAACTCCATACTATTATATCAGATGTGGCTTACAGATATCCTCACTTGCCAGATCAAATGCTCAATCCCTGCAAGATAGATCACAGGTAGTCCTCAAACAAACAGATCAGGTTGTTCTCTGAAAATTTGTCAACAGAAATGTTGAATAGAAACACTGCTGCCGATAACAATATGAGCATAATAGAAGCAGTATATACATTAAAAGTGCACGCCATTCAGACAGAAAGAGGCGCTGTACAGATGGCCTAATCAAGTTTTCCTAGACTAAAAATGTATACTCCCCATTGGTATTTTGTTCATTGTCATGCATGGCTTATTTTGTCCTTCCGCTTCTCCAGGGAAACATCCCTTCGGAAGAGATGCTTCCTTGCTTGACGTTTTTAGGGGGGGATTGTGTTTTACAGTAAATTGTTGCACCCAGCTGATAAAGGTGAATAACAACTTAGTTTCTGGAGCATTCATTTTTGCCAGGTAAGCATCCAAAGCAATACTAGAACGTCTTTCAGCATAAAGGCAAAACTCTTCCAAAAATCTACTGCGGTACCACCTTGCCTAAAGATGACGATAGCCAGCACTATCTGGCTGAGAGATTTAGTATTGAAAACTTCATGCGTCAAGGGCGGTGAGGGACAGATTATCACTTCCAGAAGTATCTTACTTCGAGTTGTGTATTGATCAAGTTGTAACAGATCATGCACAAAAAGGGAGTCAAAATACACAATGAAGTTGAACCATTAGAGCATACCGCACAGCTACTCATTATTTCTGCACACAACTTACGAAGCGATCTCTTTACAACTGATTCAGAACACTCTCGTTTTATTATTCATAAGATTTAAATAGTCTGAGATGCAAGATTAGAAAATTGGATTTGGATGTTACGTTTGAGAGACGTCATGGTTTGCTGACAGCAAAATCGACCATAGGGAATTTCAACTCAGTCCTATTGAATGCGTATTGCAAATGTGAAATACAGAGGTTAACAACCAGGAAGTGAATTGCCACCTTAAATTCATTAAAGGACTAAACGTATTGTAGTCTTCGGATTTGATAAAGAATGTGATTTTTTACTGATTACAAGAGCGACATATATTTACTGGATGAATCTGTCGCTCAAAGATAAGACGAAATTCTAATGGAAGAGACCAGAAAACCTCCGTTGAAAGGATTTGCCACTGAGATGCATGAAACAAATATATATTGAACATCCGTCACCACTGATTATAGCCTTTTCATTCCCGTAGAATTTTCAGTTTTCGAAAAGATGTAGTAGATGCAAGCTCCGTTCTTGTTAGAGTCGGGATTTGAATTCCAGACAGGCTATCACGAGGCAACTTTGTTGACGGCTACTTCGCTGATCTTACGTTAAGTATTGAGGAATTATTATTTGGAAAGGCTAGGCAACGTTCTTTTTTTGAGTACCGCTCAGGTTGCCCGATCGCCTCGAGGGAAGATACATTAACTGTCCTGGTAACACCAACCGATGATCCTAAGACTAGGAATTCTGTACAAGGTGACATCGCATAAAGCAAAAGATTTGATGAGCGACATTTTATTGTTTTATTGATTTAGTAGCACCTGACAAACTTCGCCATATTGTAGCTGTCTTTTCCAGGCTGTACTGGTTAATTAAGACACACAAGGAGGGTGCATGTATATGACCGGTTTTAAATACGAGCATTTCACCCTATCATGCTTCAGAGATTGTCTGGCTGAGATTTGTTAACAGCGAGTCATATACACTTCAAGTTTCAATCAGATTCGGTTTTCTCAGCTGCTTCGTTTGATTTCCCATACTTATATACAAACTGATATGTAAGCACTGAAAGACGCAGTGAAGTTTGTTCGGACACAAATCATGTAATATCAACCTACTGTCTGCTTTAATCTGATTTTATCAATGATTTTAGGTTCTCAGTTAAAACTGGAAGCACTCATTCTATTTAAATATATCTTTGTTGTTTACAGGTGTATATTGTTTGCAACAGCGTGAATTGAAGTGGAAAGGAACTCGGATCGAATTTGACAGCTTTATACTGATAATACGAAAGGATGACCTCGTCCTTTGACTCACAAACGATAAAAGGCGAATTCGGACATTTTCCCTTGGACAAGTAACCCAGAGTGAATATCTAGAAGAATTTGTTGACATAAATCTGGTGACTGATGAAACAGCTATGAAGCCAAATACAATGTCTCAGTAATCTGTTTCTACCTCTCATTCAATGCTACTGCAAATGGTGATATAATCACAATCGAATTTAACCTCACTGTTAGACAAACATAATTTGCTGCACAACTACGAACGATTTATACCGCTCCAGTCATGTCTATAATTACCTGTTGTGTCTGTCCAATTTTATGTATAATACTATCAGTATCCTCGTACGACAAACATCCTTGATTCCAAAACTCACTGCTTAAATAACAACATTCTACAGTATCACCAGAAGTGATCACGCAACCAAAGATAAAACCTTTGTTTCACATCAGCCTAACAACAACCGTCCGATTATCATCTCCGCTCCTTTCAGCCCAATCAACCAACCTTTTGTGGTTACCTGTGAACGGGTCAAAGGTCGCATTTTGGCAATCTCTCATGCAGTCGTCATCCATATGCCTACGTCCACGTTATGTTACCGTGACTTTCATTATACGGGTGTAAGGATTGAACAATGTCTGTCGTGTGGTTTTGTTTTAGCAGTTATGTCAGACTCTACTCCCAAAATTCTGTCTTAGCTGTAATTACAGTACTGTGTAACTTGTTGGTCGTTTTAAGGACAACAACTACATCATGTTTTTCACACCCTCGACTAGTTTTCCCCTGCTAGTTTTACTGCCCAGGCTTGTATGTTTGTATTAAAATGACGCCTAATTATCTTCGTAATTAATTGTCATTCTGTAAATCCGCCGTATCGAAACCAAAGACTATATTGAGTATAGTCAACTATTTTTTACCATTATAGTTTAAGCGTTAGTCATGTTACATCTTATTTTCAACGTTATCATAAAGGTTTCCATTATTAATAAGTAGTTTGGCAGATTGATGATTTTAGGTGAGACCCAACTGTGAAAATTCAGAGCTCCGACTGGATTCAAACCAGCGGCAGAAGCACCGTATTTCAAAGCGGCAAGCTCTTTACCAGCTGAGCTACGAAGCCACGCCAGGAGCTCGGAAATTTCACATTTGGAATCGATTACCCACCTGTCTCATGGTGTCATATGGAATCCACCAAATGATCCAGTGTACTAGTGTACTTCAAAACAGACCAGCCGGATGTGCGTTTTGATTTTCATTAGTGGTCAGTTGTAGTGAATATATTCTAGTGGATTGGGCTTTGTATTCCAAGCATTTTTGCTTTTCAAATTAAAATGTATACCGTCACCCCACGAAAACCACACCAGACTTGAGCAAATTCTCACGGCTAACCGTCAACCCCTGATCATATTCGTGTAATGTTCATGTCTGCAGATAGCTTAGACGGGGGTATAGTAGACATACCCTTGAGATTAAGCGTCAAACAGGAGGATATGAGTTAGCTATAGTATGTTGTTGTAGCTTTCAAGTTGTATAAATCTTAGGCTCTTACCAAAAGCGGACAGGTAGAGTTTAACTTCCCGCATCAAACCATTTTAACAACCCAGTAACAAATATATGAGCTTTGCCCAAAGATCAAGATCCCCTGGGTAGCTATCGTCTCCGTGCTTCATCTCAACGCATATCCTGAGAAATCTCGTCAGGGAGAGATTGGATGTTGACGCATTAGGACGGCTTATTAATCTCTACCACGTAAAGAGCCGAATTATTAGTCACATACATCCATGCAAAGTTAATCAATGTTAAATTAGTCTGTCAAGAATACCGGATTCAAATGAACATCCCTCTGTATTGTGATCTGGGTAGCAAACTCTACACCGCTTAGGATTCCACCTGTGTATTCTGCAAACAGTAGATTTAGAAAGGAGGAACACCATAGAACACCTGAAATTAGGCTGTTTTAACCTGCTGGACAAACTAACAAGCTAATGATAGGTTGAAGCATAATGTATTGCCATATGACAACAGAACTGACACACTCTCCACTGGCGAAATGTGCGTGATAAAGCCAGATCAATTTTAAGTGATTGAAAATAATGAAAACAAGAAAAAAAATACTAGTTTGAGTATGAGTAACTAAAGTCTGTATTTGTGGGGATTGTAACGGTAAGCGAAGATACAAACGAGACCTATCACAAGCATTAGAAATAAGTCCATGTGATTAGCTGTGTAGCCTAAACAATGCAGCATAGTAATGATACATCGTCATGCATTTGTACGAAACGGATTTATGCCCACCCTGATTGAAAATGAGTTCAGACGTGCACAAACGGTGAAAGGTAGTATCTGAGTCCAGGTCAGCCAACTACAAGTTGGATCACTGTGTGTTTACTATCTTGCACAGCATCACGTGACTGAAAACTGAGTAAGTCGGTAAGCGCAAAACTTATGGTGTTGCACGTCGTATGCGTGATACTGGTTTCCACAACCGTTAGGTCGCTCGGCGGACCTATTCGGGGAGTAGGTTAACTGGCCAGATGAACCCTTGGTGGTAGTTTTCACAGAAACTAGTGAGGTACCATTCGACAATTTAATTTGGTTAGTCCAACTGATGTAAGTGACTGAGAACGTATCTTTGAGCTTACATCGATCGATATTGCGTAGCACAGTAAGTGGGCAAACCAATACCCCCTGATGGACGTCGCCTGAAGACTAGCTTACCTTAGTCATACCTAGGGTACCGCAGTTTACTGAACTACACAAGCTCACGTTAACTGGGACATCAGATATCTGATGAAGACTGGCAGATTTTCTCTCAGGCTAAATATATTATCCCTCATATTTTGCGCTGTCATATCCCTGGGTGTTCGTATGAGATAAAGGCTTCTATAACGGTTATTTTATTCTAGGCAGACGTAAGAATATTGCGCGCCCCGGCTTAATTTATCGTCGAGGTCGCTAGACTCGGTTACGAAATCATCAGAAGGTGGTGTTCACATTGACTAGATATTTATTAAGCTGTGATTGTCGCCACATACCAAAACGTTTCGGCTCCTGAACGTCTTCTGGCGCTGTCAAACCAACTTCTTCATTTGCTTACTTCTCCAGAAGTGGTTTACAATGGGGTAAATGAGAATCACCTGAGACCTTTAATCACGAAGCTGAACTCCTTTTACCAGTTTAGAAGGTTTTCGTGAAGTAACGTACATACAACCATAGGATAATTCACACCAGCTGCACCTTGTATGACATGTAGCTATTCGTTGTTGGTGCCGCGTTCAGGAATCACACAATGACGTTAATGAATTCCACACATCTGAAACAACATCAACAAATCTGAAGTTACCCGTGCGTCTTCATCTAAACATATGGGAGAAGGATGAGATCTGATGTTGTAATTTTCTTTAACGTCTTTGCGTTGTGATCATGCCAAACTTTTCACTATATCCGGTCTTCAATTACTCAACGCCATAGGGCGAGGTGTATTTGATTTTATGTGGTAGATATGAAGTTTCGGGCTTGTCACACCTCAAATTAATGGCTAAAACAAATAATCAGAGTGCAATCTAAAACGCTGCTGTGATTTTTATTCTTTGACAAATATTGGAGCAATGCCACCATCAACAATCCCCATTTTTCTATATTGAACGGTTGCGTTTCAACCAATTGCTGAATTCACACTTTTTTTATCGGATGGATGTTACAAAACTATCTACTATTCCCACATTACTTAAAATTTGTCCTACATTAAATATATGAGTATTGTATGCGAAATCCTCGGAGCGCCAACACAGACAACCTACCTTTCAAAATCATGTCGTTGTTGATATTCTGTTGTTTGACAAAAAACATTGGACAATATGTCACTTTGTCGTGTTTTCGCATTATTTTAGCAGCCTCAAAGTGCAAAGCGCTTCTGCAAGAATTACTCCGGATTTATCTTGATGAAAGAAATTATGAGATTTATTTGTTAACTCAAGGAGATGTATAACAACAATGCTGGATATGTAGGAAAGCAAACATAGGTTAACATTCTTAGGTCTAGAATGGCTTTCACCGTCAAGAGAGTACCAATCTGGAACACACAGGATGCGTGTCAAGGGCAAACTTTTTGGCAAATTCGTTCCAAGAGTACAAAATAGCCATTTTGGGTTAAAATTCGTAGGTCACATTTCGGTTTCCAATCAGAGATGTTTACTTTCGCCTGCATATCCCGGGTGTGTATACAGTGTTTCTGCAGGGATGATATTCGGATGTGACGTAGCTCAATTGTTCAGGTGATATATATGGATTAAGATTATCTGTTAATTTACGTTGGCTGGTGCATGCTGCAGGTGTGACAGTCGATTGGCGTTACTGCTAAACCGACAACTGGTTGGATGACTTAAATGAAGGAAGGTCGTGACCACTAGGTCATCCAGTTTAGCTCACCTTCATCTCTCAATTCTGGGTCCCGTGGCTTACGGACTGACACTTACATTAGTGATAACAGTGGTCTGTGGAGTTACCGTTGTTTGACTGGTGTTTTATCAGCGAAGTAAACCTAGCCAATGAGGTAGATTATTAGAAAACTTGATGAAGTTATCTGTGATAAATTACTTCCGTTCGCAACTCATTTGTTTATTTGTTAGATGTAGTCCCTTCGGTATTGAATGTGTGAGTTCCAATACAGAGTTCAATTCATTCCTCTTTACAAACCATAGTTTTCAACCTACAGTGTTATAACAACTACACATAACTACTAACAGTATCAGAAGCAAAGCGTATCACCATGAATTTGAACACGAGTTACATTCTAGTTGTTCACTTCTCATATTATAGGACCGATTTTTTCTCCCCCATTGCATGATGGCTTGAGAGGTATGTGCGAAAAACGATAATTACCGCATATCTGTTATGGATAGAGAAGACATCATCCACTCACTCACATACCTAGAAAGAAGGCATGATATTAGGGAAGTACATCGAAACATTGTTTTCATGTGTAAGCCGTTGCCCCCTTAGATCCGCAAACCACTGACAGCAACTTGTGAGTTACCATGGTTTTCAGCCTTAGTTTGCTGACACAATACCAGTTACTCTTGAGTTTGATGACTCGCAATATTATTTTAATGTGTTTTCCATTAGAGTGAGTATGTGAAATATTGTCTTGAAAAACATTCCCTCTTTTTCTGTCATCTAGGCAGATTAAGCGATATTTTTCATTCTCGTTTGAATCATTCGTATGGTATCATGAATTATATGACTGTGTACAATTTATAATGCATACTTATAGCCCGTGTATAATATATGCGTGCTCTACTAACACGACTCTTAGCCTCTCACAAGCCAGTCCACAGTAGAACCAATTATTTACTCTCAGACGAAACGTAAAATATGAATACTCTCAGAGATATTGGTATTCAGTATATATAGAAACGTACAATACTATAAACGTCTACAGACGACTGTAACTTGTACAGTGCCAAATATACGGTAATTGTCTGTCATAACGGAACTGAAGTAGCTAAGAGAATTTTTCTTATTGGAAGTAATTGTTGACTTTGAAAATAACTTCTTCTCAAGATTTCCGGCAAATGTAATACCAGAAAAGGTACACAACTGATATGATATGCTCCTTTCACAATTCGAGATTACCTCTACTGGTTCTTTTGGCTTTTAAATAGGTTGTAAATTTTATCTGTTAAAGTCTACATCATATTGTAATAATATATTATCAAATATATAGAGAACACGTCTGTCGATATCTGGGTATTGTAGAAGTTATGGCAGGCTTTAGATTACTTTGAAAAGCCTTATTGGGTGATGTTTATGAAATTGTCTGTACTCAGTTTGCAAGATCAATAAACAGAAGAACACCAAGTTCAACACGTTCGATTAACCGATTGACCGTGCAAGTGGATCGAAAAAACAGTGGTAGGTTGGATTTGGGTAGAACAGTTATGTGAATAACGCAAGATATATCACAGTTATGTCCAGTGGACTGCATAAGTTAGCGATCGATATCTGCTCCAGACCAGATCATCAAACGTCCAAACTTAACAAATTTAACGGTTCTGCGCGAAACTGTTAACAAATGCCGCTCAGAATACCCTTATGATCCATATCTGGAACCTCTTTGCT